GATCTGATAGATGCCTTTTAAGAGAGATCTGGCAAAGAGTGTCATTCAGCTGGAAATTTGCAGGCTATATAATGTGTCCAGATCGCTGTCTCTTTACATCCTGTTCAGAAAGAATACCTCCCCCAAATGCGAAACAGCGAGGCCGATTTCGGCAGCAAACTGTAACAGAGCCGTTATTGTCAGTGGACTAACCAAATGGGTTGTCTGCCTCAGAGGCATCCGCAGAATTCTTGCTTGTGGAACCCGGTCAGATGGGCCTGCTGTTATGAATCAAACAAAAATATTTTCATGGTATTTGGATAATTTGAGGGCGACCAGATAAAATGTAAGCATGTAAAGTGCGTCGGGCATCATTTTGTCTTATTAATATTTGCGTTTGAGGCTGAATTATAAAAGAGATTTGTTTCTATTATTAGGTCTACAATGGCTTTTTCGGGCATTGATAGAAATAAAATAATAGGCTAATGGATTTCGAGAATGAAGTCATCATATTTTGGTTATAACCTTTTGTAGAAATATTGTGGCTCAAACTCAAAATAATTTTTTAGAATATTGTGCTGCTACTAAGGCATGCATTGTGCATGTTTGGCATACAGGTGTGGGTGATACTGGTGTGCCCACCCAACGGGTCACCACCCTCACCCTTACCCCCCACCATGGGGCCCAACTGCCCACCAGAAGACCCCCCAAGACCACTGACGCAATTCAAACACTGGTGTCCACCATTCTGGTGATGCCACTGAACTGTAACAATTCAAACCAAAATCAGAACCTGCCGTCCTTAAAATTACACAGAAATTATATAAAAGGGGGTCTGATTGTTTCAAACACAACATTTGTGAATGATGGATATGAACATCTGTTACTGTATATTCATTACTAAGCATAATAAATGCTCAATTTTAATCTGCCAGAAAAAAATGCATATGTTAATGTACAGTATATAGAGTGAAATTTTTTACATGTTGCCATTTTTGCACAAGAAAGTTCAAAACAAATAGAGGTCTGCAATCTGTCCCTATTCCCGGAATATCAGGGGATTCCTCTGGAGGTGCCCGGCCTTCCAGAGGGGGGCTGCGGAATACCCAAAAATATCTCTCTGCCTTGGAATTTTGGAACTTCAGGTGTTTAGTCACCCGATCATAAAGGCACAAGAGCAGATCCTCTCCCGCGACTAGTATCAGCCGGATTCTTAATGCCCAGGTACCTGCTGCCTTAGTGAAATCAGCTTAAAATCATGCACGTCTGCAGGCTATACAGTAGCTAGCCTTGGTCTAGTTACATCATTGATTTTTTGTTGTTGTTGCCGTTGCTTTAATCTGTTCCCCGAAATGTACACATCACGCTGAGCCGTTCAGGCAGTATTTTTCTGAACGTATGAGCGTGGGGGCGTGTTCCCGCGTTCGCTAATGTTGTCATTGCACTGCGTGAGGTTTGCCGTGCTGCAACGGCGCTGTGCTGCAACATGTAATTATATTTGATAATCCTTCAGTGCCTTTTGTCAAAGTCGCTTGGTAGCTAATTCTTGACAGTCTTCCACATCCATCCTGTGCATAATGCCTGTTCACCCTCTTAATCTAATTGGTTAACAAGAAACGTATGTAATCCTTATCCTGGCCTGCGGCCCTCTATCTGTGATATGGCGTTAAATGTATATGTTATGTGTCATGTGTTTGTGTGGCGGGTGCAAGCCCACAAATGCAAGAGATTATCTGTCATATGGTTAGAATGGGATGTGTCTTGCAGGTAGCATGTCCATCTGCTGACTCAGGGGTGACGTCTCACTGACACATGAAGTGTCACTGCTTCGTAAATCGCAGCCACACTTAGACACACGGAAATGGACGAATAAGCCCAACACGGGTTTCTGCTGTTGCCCTTTTCTGCTGTTGCCCTTCAAGGCAGCAATTTGTTTAATATCATTAGCACCTCATTTAGAGGATATAAATGGCTAACAGGGTGGGGGGGGGGGGCAAATATGCTGGATGTCCCCCCACCCTGCCCCACTCTCTAGCCAGGTCCCGCTTTTTTGCCCCCCTCCCTCATTGTGTTTGGTAGCCCCCAGGCGGCTCTTCGCGCCTGCCGGCTCCACACGGGCCCCCCCTCCTGTCTGCCCAGCATCCTTTGATTGACCCGGCCTCAGCGAGACGTTTTCGGGCAGAGTCGGTCACTACCCAACACCCTGCGTTTCGGGATTAGAGAGGTGCCGTTCAGATCATCCGGCCAACGTGACTGATATGTTGTTTTTCGAAGCCGTTTTTCTAGTTCGGTTTCAAATTTTACAGCTAATGATACCCAGCTGGCGTTTCTTGGGAAAACTGATTATGAGACTAATGGCCATACTAATATGAATGTAAGACCGATGTGTCTTTATAATACTAAAGTAAGGGAGTTGGCAGAGTTCAATTTTTAAGCTCCACTCTCCTGCCGTTTCCTTAAATTAAATCTCACTTGCTACGTTTCTTTTTTGCAGATCTGAACTTTTGCAGGAGTTTGCAAACTGTTTTTCTGTGTGCTGTTTATGAAGCTCCTTGGCCTCTTCCAAGGTCTTCTGCTCCACCAATCAATGGCCACCGCAAACCACCACACAGTGTCACATCCTGTCCAGAATCCAGTTGTCGTGTAACTTGCTGCAGACTGGTTGTTCCCTCGTGGCCACGCCCACCACCAGTAGTTGCTAATGTATAATCACCCACACCTGCAGTGAGTGCATTGGAGCTCATTCCCCTTAGTGTTTCCTTGTTGTTCCTCTTGCGGTGTTATTTTCATACTCAGTCTTGGCATTGTGATCTCAGGTTCTGGCTTTTAAAAAATCTGTTTCTGATCTCTTGGTTCTCTGGATTAGCTCTGTAATTTGAGCTTTCTGATTTGTTCTGGTTCTGACTTTTGGATCCTGTTTGCCAATCACCTGCCCTTGTTTGGTTCCTTGACCCCATCCTTAGTGATACCCTCGAGGCTTGGGTACTTGTTTGCCCCCTCAGCTTAGCCATTGGCCTTCTCAGTCCTGTCAGCACTGAGTACTCAGATACTCCCCAGCCAACAGGGAACACACTGACATACTGTATAGAAGAGCTGGCTACGTGGGTGTTTGCAGTTCAGGCATGTGACCTTTGGCCTGAGACAGTGCCTCACGCTTAGGACCTCCTTAATGTAACTGTATTTCCTTTAACTCTGTCCTGTTGTTTTGAGACACTTTTTGGCCGTACGGGTTAATAATTAGCTTAGCATGATGGTTGTGTAACAGAACGGCAGCCTAGTGGTTAGCACTGTGGCATCACACTTCCTGGATTGGGGATTTGAAAATGTGTATTTAGCGTTAGCGTGCTATTCCCGTGTTTGTCTGGGGAATCTCTGGTTCCCTTGCACTGTCGAAAAAATATCCAGTTAGGTGAATGTGTGTCTCTGAATAGAGCACAGAGAGAGATTTATGTGATGGACTGGCGTCCCATTCAGGGTGGCTCCCCTGCCCAGCACTCTGAGAGTCCTGTCTTTGCCTGTGAGCTTTGCTCTGTACTGTCACAAACGCTCGTCATTGCTGACACTGCCCTGTTTCTCTTGTCATGATGATTTGAAGCAAGCACCTGCGGGAGCTGCGGTTTCAGCCAGGTGACCCTTTCACTGTCTGACATTGACAGACCGAGCGCTCTCTGTCAGTACTCTGAATGACTTGCTTACCCACGTTGCCTTTGGCCAAGGGCGAGATAGAGCTTTAAGGACGGACAGAAAGTGACCCTTTCTTAGGTACCCCGGGGCAGGGTAATGGATACCGTCAGCTGTTACTGGGTAATGTGGAGTCCAGAGCGAGCTGCCTTTCCCAAAATGCAGTTAACGGGGATGTATGTCGATATGGGAGATGCTGGGCTGGACAGCCAATTCCTGGGAAGCCGCCATGTCTGTTCCCACCCCATCCAACTTGCGCCCCCGGCTTTCATACCTACGAGCCTTCAGCTCGAACACCACCTCATGCTCAGGTGTCACAGAGCAGTACCTCACCCCGGCGACACCAGACATGGACTGTTATGAAGCAGCGGCAACCCACACGCCATCTGTGACAGAGTGACAGGTGGGAGGGAGGGGAGGGGACGGACAGCGTCTACCTCCAAGCCAAGCGACAGCAGGTAGCTAATCGGAAGGTTCCAGGGCAGCGGAGGTGGGGATGTATCTTCCGGAACAAAAAAGCTGTCAAGGTACACAGCTGTGCAATTTCCTCCAGGAATAAATAACTTGGCATAAAACTAAATACAAATAATGGTAAGAATAATAATAATAATATAAGGAACAGTAGCATTGGTGTGAGGAATGTTAAATGGTGTTATCTTACCAGCACGCAGGTGCTTGTACACATAATAAACACCCATGTCAACAACTGCTGGGGTTCAGGAACATCTGGCAGCTTGACCAGACCTGGGTCTCGGTGTCAAGCGCTAATGCTTTGCTGTGGTAAACTGGGCCGGGTCACTGGTTTGGCAGCTGTTTCATGTTTCCATCCCTGCCAGTCTCTCTTCTTTCGACCCCTCTTCACCATTTATTCACATCTTTCCCCGACGAGGCACATCTGTTTATTTTGTGTGACTTTTTAAAGAAAAACAAGCCATTTTGAGCCCCACCCAAAAAAACGAAGCATCTGTCAGCTTAAGCCGTGCCGGAATTTTGCTCCTGCGGCTGAAGAAATCGATCACCATTAAAAGGTCGTTATTCCCATGCGTGGGTGAAGAGTGCGTTTTAAGGGCATCTCCACGACGTTTTATAGCGTGCTCAGTTTGCCAGATGAGAAGGAATGGGTACCACCGTCATGTGAAAATGACGGTGGAGGAAAAAACGACCCCTTCTCACATTCAATGATGAGGCGAGGGCCAAATGCTGAGTGACGATTTTACCCAGAATACCACATTTGGATAAGGGCTCCGGGACATGCTTGCGTAGCTCTGTGTGGGACAGGGCTGCAGGCTGTCCTTATACATCTTTTAATTTGTTCGTCTTTTTCTCTTCTGTCTTCACAGGCTGTGGAAACGAACCTGGCTTCGAAGGACAGCCACTGGGTGTTTGTGAACGAGGTATGGAAAGCCCGCCGTCAGCACGTCTGAACCGCTCCCCGCCCCGTCTGCCTTTGCGCTGTAATGCTAACGGATCGCTCGTGTTTACAGCACCTGCACTCCGCCCCCAGCGTGTGTCGCCTGCTCCCTGCCTGTGAAAAATACCTCCGTTTCATCCGCTCCAGAGCAGAGATGTCAGTATCAGCTGTCCCTGGAGACAGTGGCCGTAGCCAGGTGTAATTAATGTCTTTAGCCACGGGCCTCTGTGTCAGATTGTTTTGATAATTCATTCAGATGGGCCAACCTTATCATTAACCAATAATATATTTGGAAGCGGTGAGTAACAGGGGAGGCCACCAATCAGCTGTCAGCTGGGGCGGGTGCCTCTGTGGCCCCGCCCCAATATACACTCCGGCCAGCCAAATAATTCACACGGCAGAGGGGCAATAAACTGGGAATCTGCTGCGTTTCCTGTTTTTTGCCCCCTTCACCTTTTAAAAATGAATCGGATTCCTACTTTTCCTGAGTGAAAAGGCAGTTTCATACTCATTACTGGCAAAAAAATAACAATCGGCTCAGTGTTTTTGGACCAGTGTAAACAATCCAAACCTGCGTTGATGTGCGTCCCGTTTCATTGAACCCCAAATAATGAACATTCGCTCGTGTTACGTTTCTCCCTTTACTGTTGGTTTCGATTATGAGGGACGAGCAGAGAGAGCAGCTGAAATTCTGTGCCTCTTAAAGTCCCAGCTTAGAGTGACTTTCCGACAGGGAACCTTCCGGTGAACTTTCAGGGATCGGCAACGCGGGGCGTCCTGCCTGCTAACAGAAAAACCGACACGTTTTACATGTCGCTCTGAGGGAGGGGGGAGTGTAAAAATAAACTCACCTCATCATACCCCTCTGCTGGATTTAAAGCTATTTTTTCCCTATAAGTTATCCACCTTATTAACGTTATTTGACGGAATCAGGATGAACACTATTTTTGTTCCTGTAGCATGTCGGTCATAAGGTGGCTTTAGTCAAACCCAGTACGTGAGTCCCCCCCCCGGCGAAAAATTCAGCAAGCTTTTTTCCTGTAAGTGAGAGTAGCACAGGTACAGTATAAACAATGCCATCCGTTCATTTAGATAAACTAAAAAAATGTAAAATGGACTTTTTAAACCGCCTACCACCAACTGAATTCCAGGGGGCAGAGCAAGAGCAGCATGCTGATTTCATAGCAGACACCGCCAATTACTGTTGAGCTTGCATGTTTAAAAATAAATGCTTTATTGTTTTTTTTTTTATAGCATCATTCATTGTTTTGGCTCCTCTGAATCCCTCCCATGGTCCAAAGATACACAGTTCAGTGGTTTGACAACGCCACATTGTCCTTAGCGAGTCTCAAGTGATTGTAACCTGGACTCGGGCGAGGACGGCTGTATGATTTGCTGTCGGCGGTTATGTAACGCTTGTAATTAGGGGGCAGAGGGAGGCGATTGCTGTAGCGATGCCTTACGGTATAACTGGGAAACGTAAACGTCAGGTGGAGGTCGATGCTACGTAGGGTCACCCGTTATGCCTGGGGTGTGGAGTTACTGAACAAGATGGGAAATATCGAGAAAACACGAAGCCAGAGATCCCCTGGCAGGTGTTAATCAATGGTGTATGAGTTTTAACGCTCGTGCAAATGCATGCCTTCATTCCTCATCATGTTTGAGATATTGATTAGCTCCTCCGCTGAACAGCCGGTATGTCTACTGTACGACTTCATTAGGTCTTATTTGGCTGAATGCAAATATGCCCTGTGATGAACTGGTCTCCCATCCAGTGTGTCTCCCATAATGCCCTGGGCTTTCTGGGGAAGACTTCAAGCCCACCAGATAAGCACTTATGGAAAATGGATGAAGGAAATAAAGTAAGACTTACCCGCGGTCGCATGCGCCGGATATGAGCGAGTGTCTTAAATGCGCGTGACGAGATCATACGTTTCAAACTACCGAGGCGGGATCATGTGTTTTAAAAGGGTCGTTATTTGCGCTGTCTCATGCGTCTAAATATAAAAACAAAATGATTTGCCAAAAAAAATATGCTACGGTGAACGACAGCATCCACTTCCCTGCTCCTTCGCTAATAAATGAATCCCAAATCTGTGGGAGTACTCATTTTAGCAACAGTCTTCTGGATATTTCACCCCCCTCCCCTTCTACACCCCCGAGCTGACAGCCGCTGATTCTGGGATGTGTCATGTGATCAGGCTGTCTGTCTCATGTTCTCTGCAGTCGGCGAGCAGACTTTCAGACCTGTCGCTTTTTATTTGCCCTGATGATTCTCCTTGTGAGGCTAGCTTACACTCCTGCACGTTGTTGCTGAGCTCTACCACGCCTGGCAAGAGTTTCATGGTAGTTAGCTTTATGGATCTCTGGCTCAAAAGGGTATGGAAGCAGCTAAGACACATTTACGAAGGTACATTACTTCGTAATACTATTAAATTTTAATTATTTAGCTTGATATGCACCCCCTCCCTTTGATATGCACCCCCCTCCACCTGACATGCACCCCCCTCCTCTTAACATGCACCCCCTCCTCTTAACATGCACCCCCCTCCTCTTAACATGCACCCCCTCCTCTTAACATGCACCCCCCTCCTCTTGACATAGCCCCTGAACGGTATCAGATGGTGAACAGATTCTCTATAGATCCTGTTCTGGCAGGGTGACCGACATCCCTCTCCAAATTCTCTTAGAGATTTGAGCTGTGCGCCGGCGTGCCTCTTAAAGCTCTTCAGACCCGCTGGCATCGCCCCAGTGACATCGCCGCGGCAACAAGGCAGGCCTCAGAGTTCCGGAGCATCAAAGTCATTTGCTATTTTAATTGCCCACATCAAAGTATGAACCTCGGCCTTACAAACCGCGGATTAAAACTTTATAGTGGTAAATGGCCCCGACTCCAGTCGTTAGACGACCCACAGGCTTCTCTGCGGGGGGTAGGGGGTGTTTTTTTGATTTAAGAGCCTGTCTTCATTTTTATTTTATTTTTGGCTGGGTAGCCACTTTTTTACCATAACCAAAAAAAATAAATAATCGGAATGCCTGGCATTTTCCCAAGCTAGTGATTGGGCGAGTCTGCGAAGGCCCAGTGTCAAACTGGAGATTCCTACCCCAAGGCTGCAAGCTGTGTGTTTATTGGTCCGTTTGTGTGCATTCAGGTAGCTGCCGTCCAATTGGACCGAGTTACCTCTGTGTTTATCCAAGCGCTGACCCGCGAGAAAGAGGAGAGTCCTGGGCTCGGCCTGTGCCGTGCTGGGGGCTCAGTCTTTATCAAATGTTCTTTATGCTGTTTGTTCCCGTTGAGGTAACAATATTGTAATGCACTTCCATGCACCGACATGGGGGTCCAACTCTGTATTCCTATTTCTGCTTTTTGTTTGTGCTGCCTTCACGGCCAAGTAGGTCGGCCTGAATGAGAGCCGCAGCTTAATGAACAAAATGAGAGTGTATAACAGCCTCGCCGCCACTGCACAGCTTTCACCTCCCCCCCTCCCGTTTTGCTGTCCTTTTTGTGTCGGCCATTTTGTAAGCGCATTAGCGCTGCGGTAAACCTTTCAGCCGCTCGCAGTCAGGTTCGCATCACCGACTCTGCGCCTCAGAAAAGAGCGACCGGCTGCACTTTCCGAAGGAAGCCGCGCACCGAAAAGATGGGGGAGGCCCGAAGGTGTGCTGACCCCCCCCCAGCACACGTGCCGGGAGAAGCTCGTGGGGCTGGAGGGCTCCCCTCCTGGTGGGGGCGATGTGGAGTGTTTATCGTGAAGATGTTTTCATGTCTTTCTACTGTGAATACCAATTTATATTGGTGATATTAAAAATGCAACTTAGTTAGCCCTTGCTATCGCTTTAGTACTCCATCAGGTACACCCTTGGTAAGTACATACTTGGTAAGTACACACTTGGTAAGTACACCCTTGGTAAGTACACACTTGGTAAGTACACACTTGCTACATGCAGCAGTTTTATGTAAAAGCCCAGCCTTCTGGTTGAGTCGAGCTGAGTGTCTTGTTTCATACCACCTGGCCAGTACGTGAGGCAAGCACCTTGATCATGTGACATACTGAAGTGCCCCCCCCCCCCCGCAGAGAGGATACCCCTAAGGCAGGGACCACCTGCGGACAGATGGTAACAACCTCCCCGCCAGCCAAAGAGGCCCCCCCCCCCCCGCAGAGACTGGTCTTTGACCGCTTGCCTGCATCAGCTGCATGATCAAGCTAGACTTACAGGAAGGTCAGTTGATTGCTGTGTTTGGGCGGGTGTCATCGTCGCGGTTTTGGCCCTCGACTCCACCAGGTCTCCTGTTGCTGGTCACATGTGTTGTTGCTCCTAAGCCAGACGCAATACTCCACTGTTCTGATCTGGTTTTACATCATTCTCCAACACCCAGAGGCATTAACGCAGTTGGGACGGCGACCTCATCCAGAATTCCACAACTGTTTCCTTTTGACTCCCTGTGGCCCCCTCCCCCAACACTTCTCTACCCCTCTCCCCATCTCACACTCTCTCTCCCTTTCTCGGCAGGAGATCAGCGATGCAGAGATCCTGGAACTGGCACACAGTGCTCTGGGGCGGTTGACGGTCATCCGCCAGATCTTCCCGCTGTGGAAGGACAGCAATGCCCGATGCATGAGAAACAACCACCGCATCTCCTCGCTGCTGTGCGATCCCCAGGAGGGCTACCTCCAATCCCTGGAGGTCAGTGAGATGCTCCTCCCCCTCCCCCCTCCAAGATTCATGCTGTTTGGTTAGAGACCACCACCGCTGCAGGTCTCTGTTGCATAGACTTGAGAGGTAGCTCTTCTGCTTCTGAGATGGTGCCTCCGGAGACGCTGCAGCCACCTAGACTGACGCAGACAATCGCAAGCTATTATGACATCACTCGCAAGACCCCTGATTTCACACATCCCAGGAGATGACCAGCACGGTTCCTGCTTAGGTCAGGCGTCGGCCACCCTGCCTAATTACAGCTCTCAGAGAGGAATGCTAATCATTAATGTTAACATGAATTCTTAGCAGCGATAATATTACTGACAATTAACATATCAAAGTAGCTTTAAACTGTGTGTGAAGCCTCAGACATGAGATACATTAATTGAGTTTAAACCAATAGAGAAGGGTGACAAAGAATTAGCTATTTGTAATTAGATCATTCAATTTATTTCAAATTTAGGCAAAGTATATTTGGGCAACTCCTTCAACCAGACTTAAAAATGTCTTCAGCTACACACTGAAAGATCACAGTACTCAAAGATATATTCACATCTGAAAAGAAAACAAGTACCCCCCCACCCCAAAAATAATCACGCAAAGACAAAAAAAACTAACATGACTAGTATACTTGCCTAGTCTGCCCAGTCTGGCACCCCCCCAGCCCCCAAACGTTCCCTCCCCAACCCTTAGATCAGAATCTACCATTGACGCGCCCCCCCCCC